TGCTGTGGGTAACAGCTGATAAATAATTGTGATGTGCACCACTGGTTTTTGTTGGGTTTTATTTCTTTGTCCCCTTTTCATTACTATTATTATCATTATTATTGATTACATTATTTTGTTTCAATTATTAATCTGTTCTTTTCTCAACCAATGAGTTCTTAACTTTTTTCTATTCTCCTCCCTGCTGGGGGTGTGTGTGGGGTGAGTGAGAGGCTCTGGGGTGTTTATTTGCTGTCTGGGGTTAAAGCACAACATAAGTACCTCCTGCTACATAAGTGCCCTGGCACTTCTTTGACTGGCTTAATTCTCTAACCAACTTGTTCCTGTCACCTTCCTTAGGGATTTCACCTGGACAGAGCCCAGGACATGGCACTAGGCTAAAAGGATCTTGGGCTTGATTGAGATTTGACAATCCTATGTCTTCATGTCTAAACCAGGAGGGCTCTGAACACCCTGTGCATCTCTCAGCTATATTTAGCTGTAATGTACACACTTTGTGTAATTCTGGGACAAAACAGACAGCTGTCATGCTGCCCAGAATTGAATAAAACAGCTTTTAAAAACATCTAATTTGTGATGCAGTTCAGCAAACAAAACCAGTGACCAGATGAAATATATTCCACTGTGTCTAAATGAGGGTGAATGGCTTAGTTGAGAGTGAGAGTGAAAGAGTCCTTCAATTGAATTGTATAAAAACATAAGAGTTAAAGAGAAAGTAGGTTCTTAGCAAGACAAATTGAAGCTCCCACATCTACATTTCAAAGCCTTCATTGTCCCAAGGCAAGACAAACAAAGTGGCATTTGCATATTCACTGACACTGGAGCAGTGTCCAAAGGCATCAGCCTAATGGAAGAAACTGAGAGGAGGGAGGTGAAATTACCATACAATGATTTCCCTCAAATTGAAAAATGAGATAGAAGGAGTAGGAGGAGAAGCTCTTAAGAGAATCCTTTGATGCTTGTTTTTTCTGAAAGGAAGGCATACATGGGAGGTTGAGATTTACAACTGCAGTTCAGCGATAGCTAAATCTGACTTGAGGGCTCACAGTGATCCAGACTCCCGACTCAGGGAGCTGAGCTGGAATAAACTCCTTGTGCCAGCTCAGGTTTGCTCAAATAGGGCTGATTGGTTAACTGTGTGCCAGCCTGTTTCATGTCAGATGTGCCATCAGCATGCAAAGAGAAGCAGAGTTTTGTTGGACCTTGCTCAGCCTGTCTGGGGGCCTTTCCATCAGCCTTTGGTGCTCTCCTCCTTCCCATGGAACCTTCAAGTCGCTGCCTCCACACATCATCACCTCCCCCAGATGCAGATCACAACCTTCTGTGTTTCTTTCCATTTCATATTCAACATCTTGTCATGGACCTTCCTTGTCCTTGTCATGGACCTTCCTTGTCCTTGTCATGGACCTTCATGTGGGCCTTGCCTGGCTCAGTGCTCCCTCATCACCTCCACTGTCACAGCCACACCAACCTTCCCAACCATGTCCTCCCCAAGCCAGATTCCCACTCCCAGCCACTGTGAGCTAAACATCCCTCTTCCACCTCCAGCAGACAGGATTCTGCTCCCTGATGGCATCCAGGCAGAGTGTCATGTGTGGGTGCTGCTGTGGAGCCACACTGGAGAAGTGTAGGATCAAGGAGAAACCCATGGGAAAGCCTGCAGAAAGGACAAGGATAGTGGTGGCCACTCATTACTGCCTGTGCCACAAGGATCTTGGTTGGAATTTGTGACAGGTTGGAGATCTTGCATGGAGAGTGTGTAGGAAGCCTTGCAAGAATGATTAAAATACCTCCTTACCCTTCATGAGAGACTGACAACCTGGGGAAGAGTGCAGATCCATGGGAAAGCAGCTCTCAAAGAAATTGAGCCATAGGAACTAAAAGAGTGCTGGTGGGAAGAGACCCTTGGAAGTATCCAGGCCAGCCTTCCCTGGAGCAGGATGAGCCCAGGACCAGATCAGGATAACCAGGGCTTGACACCTGAACCCTGTAAACACTGGGGGATAAAGACTCTTGGGAATGGGCCCAAGGCTGCACCACCCTCCTGGACAGTGAATGCTTCCTAATGCCTAACCTGAACCTCCCAAGCTCCACTTTGTGTTTGTTGACCCCTCCTATACTGTCTGGCATCAGTGACAAGAGTTTGGCTCTGTTGTCCTTGTGTATTGGCACTTCAAAAGGTCACAGGCTGTTCTAAGACATTCTCAGTCTCCTTTTGCCCGGCAGAAGAGGTGATGCCTTCCCTCCATCTCTCTGCCCCACCAGCCTCTCCCTCTACCTCTCTTGGCAGATCATGTGCCCCAGCTTTGACCATCTCAGCTGCCTGGCCTGGTCCCTCTGCAGTTTCTCCCCATTGTTTCTGACCTGGCAGCTCACAACTGAACACTGAGTTCCAGGGGCACTGAGCACTGACAAGAGCTTCCTCCTGCTTTCAGCTGTTCTCCTCCACAGACTCCAGCAGGCAGCTTGTCTTGTTTGCAGTGAATGACTGCCAGCTCATTTTCTCGCTGGCATCCTCCATCACCACCAGCCTTTGGCAGCAGGATTGCATCTCAGCCAGTCTGCTCCAGGTTCAGCTGAGTTTTCTGCTTTTTCTGCTTTTCCTGCACAGATTTTCCCAGACTGCCACTGACGCTGTGAGGAATGATGATGCAAAAGCCTTTTAGTTGTTCTCAGCCAGATGTGTTGCCCTGTTTCATCATTCTGCATGCACTGTCAAGATCTTTTTGTGCTTTGCTGCTCCCAGGGCCTGTGCCAGGCTGGGGGACGAGGCTTCTGTTCCTGTCCAAGCTTTGATCAGGGTGTGCCACATCCCCCTGCCTCCCACCACAGTGAGCAGTTCCAGACTGAGAGCACTGAGAGCTCTGCTGAGAGCTTCACTTGTCACCCTTTACCCAGAGAAGCTCCTCTTTTCTTTTCAAAAATGTGCACATAGATACCTGTGCACAATGCAGGCATGGCCATGCACACACCCACCCACACACACCCCCCCACACACACACGTGTGTGTTCCTGCACACGTATTTACACACGTGCACACCACACACCTGCACATGTTCAGCCACTCATGTGCATACAGGCACATATCACAGCCCAGGATGATTTGGGCGGGAAGGGGCCTTAAATCCCATTTCACTCCAACCCCCTGCCATGGCAGGGACACCTTCCACCATCCCAGGCTGCTCCAAGCCCTGCCCAGCCTGGCCCTGGATCCAGGGATCCAGAGGCAGCCACAGCTGCTCTGGGCACCCTGTGCCAGCGCCTCGCCACCCTCACAGGGTAGAATTCCTTCCTAATATCCCATCCAGCCAGCCCTGCCCTCTGGCAGTGGGAAATCATTCCCCTTTATCCTGTCCCTGTCCAGTGTCCCTCTCCAGCTCTCTTGGAGACCTTTTAGGCACTGGAAGGGGCTCTAAGATCTACCTGGATCCTTCCCTTCTCTGAAAAAACCCAAACCTGCAGTGTCATGTCCAGCAGCAATGCCCGGAAGCAATGCCCACGGGATTCCTGGGACAGGACATAACTCTTACCCAGGTCATCTCTTCACCATGCCATAGTTAGTTTGGACCAGGGCCATGGCATCCAGCCCCTGGGGTTCCCTGAGCAGCAGAGGTGTCAGGGCAGTGGGTGTGTGGAGACATCTGTGTCCCACCAGGGATCCATCCCAGGACTCACCTTGCAAGCACAGGTCCAAGGTCCAGGCCAGGTACAGACTTTCCCATACCTGACCAAGGTTTACTCATTTCAGGGACATCCAAACAGGACCTGCTACCACCCCAGCTGGAAATGGAGCAAAGAAGGTCATGACAAGGGACCCGTTGACTACCTGGAGGAAAGATTCATCTCTCAAGCTGTAAAGATTCTGGTGACCACTTTCATTCTCTTGCTAAAGGTCTGTGACATCTGTGGCTGGGATGCACTGTCCCAGAGTGGATGTAGTCTGTGTGGAGAACCTCTGGAGTAAGGAAGAAGCTACCTATGATGATGAGTCCATGGGAAAATGAACCTATGTCCCTTCTGGAAAAATTGAAGCATTTCAGAGCTCTTTGAATCCGACTCAGATTGACCTCTGACTGTGATACAACCTGATATGGGATATTTCCATAGGAACATCACCCTCTCTCTTCTCAGAATCTCATGTGCCTCCTACTGTCAGATCTGGCTTGGGCTCAGAAAACAAAGTCAGACAACACAAAGCTCTGTACATTCATTACAGTGACTCTTGCAGAGTGACCCTTCAGGCTCTTTTCTCCCCTCCAGTGAACATCTGGGCATAACTTTGGTTCTAGCACTGCTATACCTCAATTCCCATGAGAACTGAGATTATTTCTGTGACTGGGATTTTAAAAGTCACAAGGATTCAGCTGGCAGAACCTGCAGGGTTGATCCAGGGGCCTGCAAGGGAAAATACCACCTGACAATAAGAAATGTAGCAGAATCACAAGTTTATTTTTTCTGTTCACTCCATGCAAAATGTCAGGTTATGATAGCATTCATCAGGGTGTTTCTGTAAATCAGTCATGATAATTTTCCTTCCTTGTTCTCAAACCAGAGACACTCAACAACAGCTTGTGTAGTTGCTGGGAATTCCCTGACCCTAGTCCAGCCTCTCCTTTTTGCTCCCATAGTGGCACTTCAGAAGACTTGCAGAGTCTCTCTCCTATTCCCAAGGTAATAGGATCATGGAAAACTGGCAACAGGATCATGAACCCACACAATGATCTGTAACCACAGAGAGAGGACAAATCCAGGATTTGCTTCCGGGGGCTCTTGAGGCACTGGCCCCAGGTCTGAAGCCTTGTTTCTGCTATTTCACATTCATTTTAATCACATTTCCTCCATGATACATCATCATGTAATACAGTGCCTTCTTTCCTATTCATTCCTAATGAGCCGTTCACAACTCCCTTTCTGTGAAATATTTTCCTCTGAAATTCCTCATAGAAGACACTGGGCAGAAAGCCATGGAAGCTGCTGTCCTGTCAGTCCTCAGAGCCACAGGATCACAACTGGAGCCCTCCTTGCCCTGTGCACAGTGCTTAGCAGTGGGGACAAGGACACTCATTTTGCATCAATGGCTTTGCAAATAATCAGAATTATTTTTGCCAAGCTGAAAATCTTGAAAGACTTTAAATTTTTAAAGAGGAAAAAACTCAAATGTCTGATGTGTAAAAGTAGTGAAGAGAGCACCATAAGAGGGCTACTGTGAGTGATGTCTTAAGTAGGGGCCCCAGGAGTTTCCAGTTTGACAAAAAAATACTTGTGGGAAAATTGGCAGGGAATACTGTGAATATTTTCAGGGAATGCTGAACACCCTAAAGTGTGAGATTCTCAGAGGAATTTGAGCCCAGTGGTTTATGCTAAGACACAGGAAGCAAAATGTCTCCATTGATGCCTTCCTCAGAAAGACCCAGTCAGGAACCAAGTCCTCCACACTCACTGCTTTCTTATCTTTGCCAGAGCAGATGACAATGTCCAGGGCTGAAACAAATTTGGACACGTGGAAAATCAGTTAAAAGGAAATTTTGGAGGCATCTGAAAGTATTCCTGCACCTTCTCCAGCTCAGCAAGGTGCTCTGAGCTGGTTTGATGGCTGTACAGAACAAGGGTGACCCAAAGCCAGCTCTCAGCCCGTCAATACCTGTCCAGGGAGCACCTGAGGGCAGGAGGGGATGGGGAGGGAGGGTTAAGCAGGAGGTTTGACAGATATTGTTCACTAAAGTGAGCAGCCCAGCCTAATGTGGGTCATTCACTCCCCACTCCTGCCCGGTCAGCTGCAGTATTAGTGCTGGTCAAAGGTCTCCCCAAACATTTACCATCCATTAAAAGCTAACTTTTCCATGGGATGTTTGAGCTTTGAGTCGCTGGATAGCTGCAGGCCATGCACAGGGCTCGCTGCCTCCCAGGGGGTCTCTCCTGTCCAACCCAGGGGAGCAGCATTCCAGGACTGGATGCTCCCTCTGCCTCCCGTCACTTCTCCAGCAGCCTGAGAACTATGAACAGCTTTGCTGGCAGCTGGACATTCCTTGTGGGCACTGTCAAGTTTGCTGGTCTTCTCCCTCCAAAAATAAACAGCAAAATGTATTTGAGATCAGGGCTTAGAAGGAAATGGGTTTTCTTTCCTTTGTGGGGCAGGTTTTCAAAGATTTGGAATTTTTCCCATCATATATTGTGATCAAAGCAGAAATCATGGAGTGTCAGTTTGATTTTTCAGGGGGGTCTATCAGATTTGTCATTTAAATTTAACTTGGTGGATGTAAGCACAGCACAGGACGGTGCTTTACGTCCAGCAGTGAGAAGGAGAGAAAAGGAAAATGCTTATGAGAAAGATCCTAAAGGATCTGACAAAGCTGCAGAGAGCTCAGGGAGAGCTTTGCCACACTCAAGAGTGAACAAGAAGCTCAAGATCTGACTCAGTATCAGAGTTAAACGTTTAAGATTAGGATTATGGCTCCATTAAAGCTTTTTACTGTATGGGACTGGATATGGCAATAAAATAGAGGCTTCACTTTAGGCCTGAAGAGAAGTATAACAATAACAATAATAGCAACAATTTGTTGCTATTAATGTTATTGTGATTATTGTTGTATTTCAGTCAAAATAGAAACATGGTCTAATTAAAATACATGCTAATCTCTAACCAGTAAAAACAAAGAAACCTTGTGGACAGAATTAGGAATTTAACACTGAGTTGGATCCAGTTCCAACATTTTAACTGGAATGATAAGAACTTTTTCTCAAATCCTGGGGAGATGTTGCTCTGAGGACAGTGATTTTATCACAGCTTGTACCATCTACACTCTCAGATGACCCTTGGCTGTCAGTCCTGGCTTCCTCCTCCTTTTCTCCAACCCCAAAGTTTACAGTGCAGAAGCAGCAGCCCTGGTTCACTCTCTCATGCTCTCATCTTTGCTTTGTTTTTTAAATCCCATGTGTAAAGACACCCTACTCCTTTTTGCTTCACAAAAGGGATTTCTTGCATTTTTTCCCGTTCTTCTCTTTCTCCCTTATTTTCCAGTTCTCCCTCCTTTAACCACCTCGGTCCTATCTCAAGGTTTGAGAGATGTTCCTGGTGGACGCCTGATGAGCCTCACTTTGCTGGCAGCCCTGGTCACCTCTGACTTCATGGCTCCTACTTTGGAGACAGTTTGCATTTGTGATTTGGGCTTGAAGTGTTGCCATAACAAACCAGCATTTTCCTGAAAATAAAGCATAATATATCCTTATGAGTGCTTACATGGGAGAAAAGGGATATTTTTTTTTTCCCTTATACTTAGGTGTGCTCAGATTCTGGCTGCCTCTGGAGGAACCAGGGTGCTGTGCATTCCCACTATCTGATGTGCAATGGTTTTCTTCTTTAGATCCTCGGGCCCTCAGACCTGATGGATTTGGGCCTGAAACTTTGAGCTCATTATTTTCTGGGTTTCAAAATTTTTGGACTTGAAATGAAGGACTTCCATCTGTGAATAGGTACAGAAAGAATGAATTTGGGTTTAAAGTTGTTGAAAGACTGCTCCTCATACTGCTGCTGCTTTTACCATCACAAGGAGAGAAGACAAATCTGAATTCCAAATTCCTTTTACAGCTTTCTGTTACTATTGCTCTGGGTGAAGTGAGCTCTGTGGAGTTTAAAATAGGATGAACATGGGAAATGGAAACTGAAAGGGTCAGAAAGCTTTTTCCTGTTAAAGAAGGCTCTTCCAGGGAATCAGCACCTGCTGGGTAAGGAGGCATCAGCCAGCATGAGCATCTCTCAGAGCTCTGGCCACGAGAGATCAGCAGAGCTTGACTGCAGGGACAACTGAGACAGCCCCTGCATTAAATCAGCCTCACAAAATAAGTAGAAACTGCCTCAGAATGTCCCCATCAAAGCCTAATTATCTGCTGACTTCTTAGACATGAGAGAATTTTCTTTGTCTATTTAATTTCATGCTTATCATCAAACTAGTCATTAAATAGCTGAGTATTAGGGGAAAAATGCAAAGCTTTCTAGTCTGTCTTGTTTAATCCTTCAGCCCCTCCCTTCCCTCCTCCCCGTCCCACTTTCTCTCTGGCACAGTCAGAAGAGGGGAGAGCAGGCGGGGTGTCCTGCTGGGCATTGTGTCCTGGTCTCCAGGTGGACAGGATGTGGGAGCTCTGGGAAAGGCTAGGATGGAAAATCCCCCAGTTCCATGCCAGAGCCCAGCTCTGGCTGTTGGCAATTTGGATTTGCTACACCCATGGGATGTAGCAGAGGTGCAGAAGCCACTAAGATTGGGATGAGACCCAGAGGTCTGATCATTACAAGGAAAATGAATTGTCTGTGAGTCAGGTGAATCGTTTAAAACAGAACCAAAATGATTGAACAGCAAATGGTGCTGGGCTTTCCTGTCTCATAACATATTAGTGGGGGACATTACATGAAATTGGAAAATAAAAAATTGTCAGTCACTGCAAGTCTTTTGTATGTCAGATGAATCAAGGATGTGGAATTGCTGCTTTGGGCAATATTTGAAATCAGGAATACAGAAACATTTAAGCAATGATTGGCTACTTACACTGATGCCAGCCCTGTCCCACTGGGATGAGTTCTTGCTTTAGGTCTCTTCAGCTGGGCTGTGTGGAGGGAACAGGGCAGGACTGAGCCCGCAGCAGCTTTCTTCAGCCTGCTTGAAAAACCTTGTCCTGGCCATGGCAGGATTTTGGCTCCACTAACCCAGATCACACCCAGGGAGGCGATTCCCAGCTTCACAAGGATTCGTGGCCATGTCCTGTCTGCTTCTCTAGTGTAGTATCTCTCCTTCTGAGGGCACATCACTGTCCAGTCAGCCCATACAGCAAGACAATCTCATCCCAAAGACCCTTGATTAAGTGTTTTGCCTTAATGCCAATTCCTGCTTTCTGCAGTTTGGCTTGAAATGTCCAGGAGGAGCCATTCCCTAGCAGCAGCCTCCAAGCTGTAAACTTTTGACCTGAGCTAATTACTGAATCCACTTTATAGAAGTAATGAGGTTCTGAGCCTCTGCAATGCCTTGGAGGCTCTAGAGAGTCCGAGCCAAAACCTGAGCTCTCTAATCAGTTCTGACTGTTTTTTTATTCATTTACCGAGTGCCCTGAGGCACTGCCGCTCCTTGAGCTCCCTGGGAGGAGCTGCAGTGCTGCTCTCCCCAGTCTGCAACTGGGCAAAACATCCCAGTCAGGGCTGCAGGTATCCTCGGCGCCTCAGTGATGAGAGGAGGAGACACCAGTGAGGACCAGTGATCAGAGCAGCAGGGCCAGAAGAGTTGTGCTCAAGTCTTTCCTCAAACCTACTACTGGGCAATTGGGATCTCCTCCTTCTGCCTCAAAACCTCCAACAAAGAAACAGATAGAACTTTGCTATCTGTGGGAGAGCACTTGGATGGCTGTGGGCAGTGTAATGATGAGATGAGGGGAGGGGTGGCTGTTCAGGACCATTCATGGACACTGGCAGCAGGAGCACAGCAGGAACAGGCAGTGGGAACACTGCAGAGATGCTCCTGCGCTCTGGGCAGCTTTTGAAATCTCATCTCCCTCACTTTGTTGTGTTCTTTCTACCCAGTACAGGCAGGCCTTAACCAGCAGTCCAAAACTAAGCCCAGAGAAGTTGTGGATGCCTGCCTGCATCTGTTCAAGGCCAGGTTGGATGGGGCTTAGAGCAATCTGGATTTTTTCTTCTGGAATGTGTCCCTGCCCATGGCAGGGGATTGGAAGTAGATGAGCTTAAAGGTCCCTTCCAAACCAAATAATTCAGAGATTGTACGACTCTGTGATTCTGCCTTTCCCTGGGAACATTCAGGAGGTGTCAGCAGCTGAAGAAGAGCTGGAGATCTGCAACAAACCCCTCAGCCCCAAGCCCACCACTGGTCTCCAGTTGCTCATGGAGCTGACGGCCCCAGCTTCCCCTCTCAAAGGCTTCCCCTTGCCCTTGTGCTTGCTCGGTCCCCCTCTCTTACATGCTGAGGCACTCCCAGGGATGACACTGGGGAGAAGGTGACTGTGTCACCCAGGTCAGGACGCTGCTGACCAGCTCCACCTCCAGCCCTCCACTCCAGCAACCTCCCACCCTGGGGCTGCGTGGTGACAAGAGCATCCCCACTTCCCAATGAATGGAGAAGGGAAGGTGCTCTGTCCCTGGCCAGTCTCATGACTAGTTTGAGGCATGAAGGGTTCTGCAGGCAGATGTGACCTCCTGATGCCAAGCCAGCTGTGCTGCCATGGTGGGGCCCCTCCCTGGGCCTCATCTGTGGGCCGTGGGGGACCCCAGGGTGAGCTCTGCCCCCACAGGGGGACCCCAAGGTGGGCTCCACTCTACGCTGGGCAGTGGGGAACCCCACCCTGAATCACCCCCAGCCACATCCTGCCTGCCCATGGCAGAGCCCAGGCAGACAGAGCTTGCTTTGCCTGCCAAGCCTCTCTGTGCCGAGCTCTACAGTGTGGGCAGGAGCAGTGGCAGCTGGGGCACGGGGAAGGCAGAGCTGCCAGAATGCACCAGAGCTGCCAGAATGCACGAATGGCCCTGCTGCTGCTGCTGCTGCTGCTGTGGATCCCAGGGAGGCAGCGCTGGCAGGAGCAGGGTCAGGGATTTACATTGCAAATCCACACAAGGCTGAGCTGGAGCACCCGCGGCCAGCGCAATCACTACTGTGGTCTTGGCAAACCCAGCTCTCCTTGCTGAGGGTGATGTGCTTGGTACTTACGTAAGACTGGCTCATCTCTTTCTGTTGTTCCTCTGTCTCCCTTCAGACAGAGGGTTGGAGATTCAAAGTGGGGACTTTGTGAGCATCCTTGTGTTCAGCTTGACAACTCAGATAATGGCATTTATCACACAGGTTTGAGGTATCACCTCACCTGACACAGGCAAGAGCAATTAACCTGCAATGCAAAGGATATTTTTATTTTGCGTATAAAAATTCCAAAAAAATACATGTAATAGCTTTGATTTTAGCTCATAGCCATGCAAGTGAAGGCTGTGGCATCTGAAAAACTAAAAAATTCAGTGTTTTAAAATGGCTGTAGCAGAAAAGTAAAGTGACTGGGGGAAACAAGAGTGGTTCTCCCAACCAGCCCGTGCTATGGACACTGGGAAAAGGGTATTGGCAGGTGGAAATGCACCAGTCTTTTGCCATCAGTGAAGATGGGCTGATTTTGCATCTTTCGCTGTGAACAAAGAACTTACTTGTTTTGGAGGCTGCAAGGAAGTGATGCAGAAAAATCTGTGACTGGACAGGTAGGGATAAGCTGTGAGTGCTTGTTACCAAGACACATTTATAATATTGTACTGTAATGCAATTATAGCATATCAATTTATAATATTGCATATTTTTTTATAATTCATCAAACCATCCAGCAAAATTCAGATCAACAAGGATAGTAAGCTATAGCCAGTTCAGCCAATTCAGTGGTGGATGTGGCCAACAGAGTGTTCTTGAATTTCAGATACCTTTCCAAAAATAAGAAGAAAAAATTATAAGAACTATGTCAGATACCTTTCCAAAAATAAGAAGAAAAAATTATAAGAACGATGTTAAAAAAAAAAAATCAGTCTCTTCAGGATGCATGTCAGTGCTCTCCATTTGTTGCCAATGGAGCTGCCCTGGCTGTGGGCAGTGTGACCAGGGAGGCGAGCACTCCTGAGTAGGCTCAGGACACATTGGTTTATCAGGGACTATTATTATGGGATAATCCAAGATACTTGGAGAGAGCAATAAATCTTGGAGCTCCTGTGCCAGCTCCCATGTCCCCAGCTGCTGCACCATCATGCTTAGGGTAGTGGGACAGTGTTAGCAAACTTGAAGAAGCTATGAAATTTATTTCATTAAAACAGGGAAGAGTGGTAGATTTGATTTTGCAGATTTCATTTGGTGTTAAACCCATCTGCCTTTTAGTTGGGCAGATAAAACCCTGCTGCCAGTGGAATCAGTAACTGGAGTGGGAAATGCAACTGGACCTGGGAGGAGTCTGAAATGTGAGGTAAGAGGTGCAAGGCTGGCTGCTGGAGATAGAATTTTTTGTCATTAGACCATTTAGTCAGAAAAAGCAGATAAGCTGTTGGGAAAACAAGCCCTTCTCTGAATTTGAAACAGAAGCAGCAAATTGACAGATGGCTCAGGATAGCAGGAGCAGTACAGTGGGGCCAGCTAATCACTGGAGATAAGATCTGCACCACAGGCAGACTCCCAGCCCCCCTGTGGCACCGTCCCTGTCCCTGCAGACGTCCTGTCCTGGCAGGTGGGGAAATGCCACCGCACCAAGGGGTGACCTCATGGCCCAGGGGACATGTGCAGCTCCAGCTGTGGCAGCAGTGCTGCCCCGCTGCCAAGGAGGCTCAGCCAAACCACAGCAAACCTCAGCCTCTGATGGCAGCCTCAATCTCAGGGAATATAAAAGCTCCTGAGACACAATCTGTGTCTAAATCCCTTGGCAGGTGTTTTCCAGCCCCAAGGAAATATGTTTCATGTTACACACAGTACCAAAACTGTCTTGTGAGAAGATGGTAAAATTAAATTCCTGAGGAAAAGGTTTGTAAGAGCATCAGGCGAGTCAGCGCTAGAGCAGGATCTTCTCTTCAGTGGGGTGTGTTGGGTTCTGTGTGCAAACTTGGTAAAGAGATCCACTCCAAAGGGATCCCTATCTCCAATTGTGCTCTGCATTCCTGAGTGTCACTACAGTCCAGAGCTTCCTGGGCAATCAGAAACTCCTGGGACCCCTCTCACAGAGCACCTGACTTACCTGAGCCTTGGGAAATGGCCTGGAAAGCACCACCCTGCTGTGGTTACACTGAGCAACACCAGGCTGCACTGAGCAACTGTGGATCTACAGCAGCTGCCTGGAGAAGCTGTGGCTGCCCCATCCCCAGAAGTGTCCAAAGTCAAGTTGGACAGGGCTTGGAGCAACATGGGACAGTGGAAGGTGTCCATGCCCGTGGCAGGGGGTGGCACTGGATGGGTTTTAAGGTTCCCTCCCACCCAAACCATCCTGGGATTCCATGATTCTGTGACTAGCACAAGAGCTGCCAGGCAGGACTGTATGGTGAATTCCATCTTTGATACCTCCATTCTGTCCCCACACTTTCTCCTGGTCTCCATTAACACGAGAGCCTTGGGAAGGTTTTGCTCAGATTACTGGGGAAGGTTTTAGGAAAATTCCTTTATGACATGCTTGAGAAAGCTCTCCCCCCCACCGCTGCAGACAATCCCATTTTCCCTCTTGGGGAACTCGGGCTGGATTGACAGGAGCCGACATCCATCCTGTGGGTGCATGCAGCTCCCGGGGCCTCTTTGTGTCAGGCTGCTTTAACAACAAACAGAGCACAGCCCCTGCAGCATCCCAGCCAGCGGGGAGACACGGGGAGAGGGACCCGGCAGGGCCAGCTCTTCATGCCTGGATTACCCCGGGGATGAAGCGCAGATGAAAACAATTTTCAGTTTTTTGGGTTTTTGTTTTCATTTTAAGATTCCCCATATTGACAAAAGGTGACTATGAGGCAGATTGACATCCAGATTTGACTTGGGAAACAGTTCAGCATTAACCTATTAAGCTAATGAACTCCAGTTATCCGGATTGGTTTGCCAAAATTAGACCCAGGAAATGGCTGCTTATTCAGTGGAAAAGAGAACATAAAAGATCTGCCCCTAAAATTTCTCAAAGCAGCTGATGATGTTGTCTAATTTCAATGGAATTCTTAACCTGACACATTTCAGAGAGATTGACTGTCAGGGAACTGACCCCTGGAAAAATCAGGATAATGGTACGTGGTACTGCTCACAGATTTTAAGGTTTTCCTATGTAAGTGTTACATTATGCACATCCACTTCAGGGTTAATAGTGCCCAGACAGAATCTGCCATAATAAATTTATTATGTATTATTAAACAGGGTTGCCCAGTAAATAAATTCAAAATATGTCCAAAGCCAGAGCTTTTAAGGCCAAAACTCAGCGATTTCTGTGGGATTTGGAATTGAGCGAGGATGCCATTTCAGCTGAAGGCAGCTGAGGTTCCTAACAGGTTCCTGATGCTGGGCAAAAGGAAGGTGTAGTGGCAGGATTATTGGAATTTCATTTGTGCACTGTCTGGGGAAGGCAATGTAATTTCTTGCCCCTTCTGCCCCCTTGGCTCTGTTGGAGGAGACTCTTTGCTCCTGTTTCCTGAATTTCATTGATAAGGTCAAACAGGCAGGATAAGCAGGGAAAAGACACGAGGAACTCAGTCCTACATAGAGAATTGAGTTGTGTATCATCATTATTATGATAATATTTATGGTGCAGTGGAGGTGGAGGGCTAGTAACAGAGCCTTGCAGTGCCTGCACCAAAAATCCATCAAGGTCAGTATTTCACCTCCAGCAGCCCCGTGTGTCTGCCACCAGTGAAGGATGAAAGCATGAGGAAAATACACTTGCCCAGGATTCTCCAAACCTCCAAGCCATTTGTGTCTCAAAGATCCCTCAGGCTGGGAGATGCTGCAGTGCTCCTCACCACTGGGTATATTTTGTTTTTATTCCTATTCCTACCATATTTCCCTGCCTCATTACAGAAGGGAGGGAGGCAGTGAAATAGCAGAGATGCTCCTTGACTCCTTCCCTTGGCCTGGCCTTCCCCATCCTTTCCATATCCATATGCAGAAGGGAATGATGGACTGAGCATTTGGGACTCTCACAGCCACAGATCAGTCTCAAAACTGACTGTGACAGTTGTGCAGAAACGTTCTTAATTTGGGAAGATGAACAGGAAGGTGCAATGTGTCTTTAAAAAGCTCCTTGCCCAGGGAGACATGGGTCCAGCACATCACCCAGGAGAAATTTGATAGATGAGTCTCCAACATTCTTGTCATGTCTCCCCTTCTCGTTTTGCCCCCTTCCCCAGGCTGGAAGTGCTGAGAGGCGTGCTGTGAGGTCTGCCTTGTGTCCGGGAGCCTGTCAGAGCTGGGACATGCAGCCCCATGGCCTGCAGCTGGACTCACAGCAGTCTCCATCAAGCACTCATCCACATGTCTCTCCCGGGCGGAATGCCCTGGGGTTCGGCACTCCTTTGTTTTGAAAGTCACAGTTATTTGTATCAGCAAAGCATGCAAAGAGTGTCCCAAAACGAGAGGGAGGGGGAAGAGAGAGGGGGGCAGAGAGTTTCTGTGCCTCATGGGATCATGCTCAGAGAAGCAGGGAGAGATGAATTCTTGGGGTCTGATACTACACAGAGCAGCAGTGTTTTTGGGGAGAACCCCAAGTGCCATGGCTGTGAGTGGGACATTGGCTGGTGCAGGCAGAGCAAAGGAGACTCTGTGAGGATCCAGCTCTCCCTTGGGTGCTGCCAGGCTGCACAAGGCAGAGGAGAGAAATGGCAACAGCAATGGGGTTGGAAAGCTGCTGCTAATGCACACAGGGTCTGCAGATTATGTAATAGAGAAAATCCTCCAGTTGGGGCTCTGGGAGAGCAGGGAATATAAAATCCTTTTTCTCCAGTAGATGCTACACAGGAATGACCTGGGGACATGAGAGACAATGATAAGTGACTCTCTCCATCCCCTTTTATCCTGTTTACAATACAGAGGCTTTCCTTGAACAAAACCCTTTTTTTCCTCTCCATGCTCCTGGCTGTTGTGTCTAAATGAGCCAATTTGCTGAAGAACTCCTCCTGGAAGGACTAGAAGTCTAACACGAACAGACGCTGGGTTGCAGCATGTTGTTTCTGGCAAAAATCAATTTCTTCACAAAAGAACAGAAATCTGTTCTTGTATTTTCAGTGCTTGCCATTTCATCAAGGCTCCTGTGATACCTCTCACAGCCTTGGCCAGGAGGGAATCCCAGAGTCTATTTCCATTCAACCTATTTCCAGAAGTGTTTGAAAATGGGGTCTAATGGCCCAGGGAAGAGGGAGCAAAGGAGTGAATGTGTTTGTTACTGCTGCAGTTAATGGTTTTGTTGATATGCTGTTTATCCTTGGGCAGATGTGATTTCTGGGGCTCGAGTTGCTGTTTGACATCCAGGGGATAATCTCTTGCCAGAGGCCTGGCTGGCTGCATGGCAGGGCAGGGCAGACTAAGTTTGATGCATCATCTGAGACACAAGAGATGGACCCACAGGGACAGAATCTCTCATTAATTAAAGATGTATTGTTGTTTCCCTCTTTTATATCTGTGTGGTGCTCAGGGATGTGTTCTCTGTGACAAGACTGCATTCTTCAGGTGCTCACCCTGAACTGCAAATGAGCAACAACAGAAAGAACCCAACACTTTGGAGACTGGTTTCCCAGTTTTCCCAGTCTCACATCAGGAGGTGTCTGCCTTTAACTTCCCCACCTCTGAAAATATTTTCTCACTTTTCCTCCACCATTTGTCATCCTTCAGTAGCCTGAAGTTTTGCTGTACAATTATTGTGGTTTTGCCTAAGTCAAGTGCAGGACACAGCTGAGGGTATTGAAGGAAGTTTAGGACTTAAATCAGTGTATTTTATTCCAGAGTATTAGAGCATTTTATCTGGATGGACCTACTTTAAGACATAATTCTTGTTGATAAAGCAGGTTTACCTCATGTCACAGGTGGGACAGGCAGCACAAACCCAGAAAAGGGCAGAATCAGCTCAACATCGGAGGAATTCAAAGCCTGAGGAAGAAGTATAAAATGACAACATTTATTAGAGGGAAGAAATAGTGGAGAAGGAGAGAGCTGAGTGCTTGTCTGGACCATGAGGACAGAGGCTACAGACTTTTCAATTATTGATCTTGTGGTATAGAGTTGAATGCTTTACAGAATACAAGCCTTTTCCAATTTTTCCCAATCAAGCTCTTATTGGCATGAAGTTACATTTGTTGACAAGAACTATTTTCCATTAAACCACAGTGACAAGATAGAGTTATGGTCCTAATTTGAGCTTTTTGATCAATCAGTGTTTGTAGCTGTGCCTCTGATATCCTGCTGCCCTAACTGGGCTATACCTTCCCACCACATTGGGGTTTTTTAAAATATAATTCCTCTTCTCCTTGCTTTTCCCATGAAGTAAATGGTGACAGGAATTCAGGTGGCCCAGCAGACGCTGACCATAAAGATATTGGCTGTAGTAGCTCCGTACATACAAGGAAGAGCTGTGGCTTCAATTGTGGTGGATTATCTGGTCCAAACAATGAAGAGTAAACTGAAAAGCAGTCTCTCATGCAGCCCCAGGGTAAAGCTCTGTCAGATAGGGCAGGAACCTGCAGTTCCACCATGAGTGGGTGACATCCCACAGGAGAGAATTTAGTGTATTTCTAAGTATGGAGAAAAACCAGGATTATTAAGAAAGCAAACCTTTTTGCAGGATGGACACCCTAAACTGACCTTGACCATGTGGGAACAAACCTGTGAAGTGCAGGCAGTTCCCTGGCAAAGAAACACTGAACAGGACAGCAAGACACGGTGCAGGACAGGTATAATAATTGTGAAAGAGCTGTTTTAGAAGGGATACCTGGAGGTAGGATTCATCCTATGAGGAGGGAGGTACCAGCTCAGTATCTGCATCTCCAGGTGTGCTGGTCACTGGACTCACAGAGGTGACCTCTGGAGGTCCCACCTGCAGAGCTGTGCCCAGCCCCTCCTCGGCATCAGGAGGATGTGGAGCTGCTCAGGGGAGGAGGCTCTAAGGCTGAGCCCCTCTGCACGGAACCACGGTGGGAGACCTCGGGGCGTTCACCTGGAGAAGAGAAGAATCCAGGGAGAGCTCAGAGCCCCTTCCAGGGCCTGGAGAGCTGGAGAGGGACTGGGGACAAGGGATGGAGGAACAGGACACAGGCAATGGCTTCAAACTGCCAGTGGACAGGGATGGATGGGATATTGGGCAGGAATTGTTCCCTTTGAGGGTGGGCAGGCCCTGGCACAGGGTGCCCAGAGCAGCTGTGGTGTCCCTGCACCCCTGGCAGTGCCCAAGGCCAGGCTGGACAGGGCTTGGAGCAGCCTGGGACGGTGGAAGGTGTCCCTGCCATGGCGGGGGACAGTGGCACGAATCCATTCCATGCTCCGGTGCGGGGGGATGCAGTTCCGCGTCCCCAGGCAGCTCTGGCAGCTGACCCCGCGCCGGGAAGCTGCAATCACCGATTCCGACGCTGCGGACGGAGGGAGCGACCCACATCGTGCGGGAAGGGCCGCCCGCAACCGGCCCCGCACGGCCCGGCCCCTCCGGGATCCTCCGGGACCCTCACGGCCCCTCCCCGCCCCTCACGGCCCTCCCCGCCCCTCACGGCCCCTTCCCGCCCCTCCCCGCCCCTCACGGCCCCTCCCCGCCCCTCCGGGACCCTCACGGCCCCTCCCCGCCCCTCACGCCCCTCACGGTCCTGCAGCGCCCCCTGGCGGCCCGCGCGGCGCAGGGGCGGGACGGCGGCCCGGGGCAGGCGGAAGCGGAAGCGGCGGGGCCGGAAGTGGCGGGTGGTGACGTGTGCGGAGCGGAGCCGGTGCGGGATGGAGGGGCTGTACCAGCAAACCAACAAGTGCGTGAGGGACTGAGGGGTTGGAAGGACTGAGGGGAGTGTGAGGGATGGAGAGGAGTGTGAGGGATGGAGGGGAGCGTGAGGGATTGAGGGGTGTGTGAGGGATTGAGGGGAGTGTGAGGGACTGAGGGGTGTGAGGGATTGAGGGGAGCGTGAGGGATTGAGGGGAGTGTGAGGGACTGAGGGGAGTGTGAGGGATTGAGGGGAGTGTGAGGGACTGAGGGGAGCGTGAGGGATTGAGGGGAGCGTGAGGGACCGAGAGATTTGTGAGGGATTGAGGGGTGCGTGAGGGATTGAGGGGAGCGTGAGGGACTGAGGGGTGTGAGGGATTGAGGAGAGTGTGAGGGACTGAGGGGTGTGAGGGATTGAGGGGAATGTGAGGGATTAAGGGGTGTGTGAGGGATTGAGGGGTGTGTGAAGGACCGAGAGATTTGTGAGGGACTGAGGGGAGCGTGAGGGACTGAGGGGAGCGTGAGGGATTGAGGGGAGCGTGAGGGATTGAGGGGAATGTGAGGGACTGAGGGGAATGTGAGGGATTGAGGGGAATGTGAAGGACCGAGAGATTTGTGAGGGATTGAGAGGGGTGTGAGGGATTGAGGGGTGTGTGAAGGACCGAGAGATGTGTGAGGGATTGAGAGGGGTGTGAGGGATTGAGGGCTGTGAGGGCTGTCCCATCAAACCAGCCATGTCTGAAGGATCGGCGGCAGCGCCTCAAACCGGGTGTGAGGAGCTCGAGCCGGGTGTGTGGGAGCCCAGAGCCGACACCCACAGATCTCAGCGCCCCTGGAAAGCGTTTCCCCCCAAAACCCCGTCCCGGAGGGAGCAGAACCCCAAACCGTGTGTGCCCCGGGGCACCGGGAATGGTGATTCCTGCTTTTTTAGAAGGATTTGTGCAGCAGCTTTGAGGGGTCTGCCACCGTTTAAACCACCTCTGGAGGCGTGTGGCTCCTTGAGGATAAATCCCACATTTCACAGATTATGCCGGTCTGGAGAGGGAGGAGTGGTGTGGGAATTGCAAAATAAGGCAAAAATTCTCGCGGTTCTTTTGGAAATCCATGTGGAATAACTCATGGGAAAGGGGCCAAAGGACACAGCTAAGTCAGTATTCCAAATTTCCGTGGTAATTTGCATCTTTGTGGGGCTCTGTTAAGGCAGGTGGGGTGGTAAGAGACTTGAATTAAATCTTGTGTTGGATTGTTATTTCTCTGTCACTGAATAATAATAGAGTATGACCCTGTAGGGAAGAGCAGGACATCCTGCTGGAGATCCAGAAATGCAGGAATGTTACAGCAGCTGTTATGGACTGATGTTCTCCTGGTCCCATTCCTGTAGTGCCTTATTTTGTGATCATTGAATGGTTCAGGCTGGAAGAGACCCTAAAGCCAACTAGTTCCAGAAGAATTTAACAACCATCAATACTTTTTTTTTGTTTTGTTTTCTTATGCCACTGCTTGTCCAGCAAGTAGTTTTTTCTTATAATTAAAAGCTTTTAATTTCAGTTGATGCCTGTGAATTCACATGTTGTGGCACCATGAAAATCATGCCCACTGTCATCTCCAGACCAAGCTGAACAGCTGTTTTTTTGTAGAAAAGCTGTTCTGTGCTTTTCATAACCTTCACCTTGATTTCTGTATTTAAATGAAGTTACTTTGTAGGTGTATATGAGGTGAGAGCACAGCTTGCTTCCTGCTGAGGACCTGGTGGTCAGGGATGGGCTGTCTGCTCTGACATTGTGTTGCTGATTCCTGTGCTCTTCTAAAAAGTGCATTTCAGTAAAAGAAGCAGAAAAGTGAGGTGCTAAGGAATGATTTTGTATCTGTTAGCTGACTTCTCTGTTCATTTTCTTTTTATGTCCTGACAGGCAGGTCCATGAGGTCCAGTCTTACATGGGGCACCTGGAAACTTCAGACAAAGAGTCAGTGCACTGTAAGTAACGAGGGAGGTTGATTTAGTTTGCATCTTTAACCTTGTATGCCTTCTCATTAAATTTACAGTCATTATTGGAACAAATATAGCTCCTAAGCCATTGTGATCAGCTGCTGAGACACATCACCAATTAAGAATGCATTGAAATTGTGTTGCTGTTTAACTTCAGTAAGGTGGTGACCAAAAAAGACAGGACAAGAATTTGTTTCATCTTCCTGTTATAATCCTTTAACAGTCACAGAGTGCTTGCTGTGGATGCTTCTTTACTGCCGTGGTAGAATGCCAGAGTTTTGGTGCTGTTGGATTTTGGAACTCATGGTCAGGGTGTCTGTGCAGGCCTTCAGCACAAACAGATCAAAGCCCCCACAGTGATGCACTCGTGGAGGTTTTTGAACACCTGGAATTAATGAACCCCTTGGTGTGGTGTTAAGAGCTGCAGCTTGAGAGCATCTCTGGGCTGGTTTGTGAGAAGCTGAGAAAGCTGAGATGTGTCTGAGCCTGCCCTGCTGTGGTGTTATCCCCTCAGCATCCACCAACTGGCAGCTTTCCCCTAAAGATGCTCAGTGCAGTTTTGGGGAAGATGCTGTGATTTTGTGTGCAGGAACTTCAGCAGGATGCTCCTGAAGTCAGAACCTGTGATTCCACCTTGTAGGAAGTGTGTAGAACCATTGGGTGTGAAATTGCCTCAGTAAATTTGGACTATAACCCTGTGCTCATAAGTGGCTGTAATAATGAGATGCTCTGATATGTGTGGCAGGACTTTTTACCCCAGTGTAAAATTGGCACATGTATTTTGGACCTATGTTTGAACCCTTAATTCTTGCATGAGTCACTACTAATGGGTTTAATCAGGAACTTCTGAGGTGAAAGGACACTGCATTGACTGGATGAATTTCTGCACATGTTCCCTGACTTCCCTTACCTTAAACACATTTGTGAAACATGACTGGGCTCTAGGAAGGACTGTGATAGACTTCCTATCAAAAAATAGTAACTTACTAATTCTGGTTGTAGTTTTTGTGGTGGTTGTATTACTCCTACGATGCCAGACTTCCCAAGCCCTGAAAATTAGTATAATTTGCCATTTTGCTTCTATTGCTTGAGACCATTTCAAGAGATAGCATTGTGTAGTTTCCATAGTTTACAGTTGGTTCACCAGTTAACATAAATGAATAAACATATGTATCTATTTCTCTCTCTATAAAGTTACTAGTGTGTGTATTTCAGAATTTATGGAAAATAGGACTATCCATGGTTGAAGAGGAGGAATAGGGGCCAGGAAATCAAACTTGCATTTTTTTACCTTTTCCAACTTGGAGCAAATAGTCCCTTCTTGCTCAGAAAAATGTCTAGTGGTGTAGTTTGGTCTGATAAAAGTTTCTGTAACTGTCTGTTAGCTCTGCTGTGTTGAATTCAGCTGCAGGAAATGATGGAGAGCTGCATCAGGACAATTTCACTGATTTGTCGCTGGATGTGAGTCAGTCACTCTTTGGCTGTGTGAGATCCAGGGGCAAAGACGAGGTCGTGTGTGCTCTTTGCTTCTCTGGGTGTTTCTGGGAAGTGGTTTTCTGGGAAGTCCTGGTGTGTGGAGTACTTGGCAGGTGGTGGATGATGCTTCCTGTTCCTGTGACAGCAAATCCTGCTGAGGGAGCAGGAAGGGGCTGCAGGGGGAATGTGTGGGTTTGAAATCCTAATTCATGGAGCTGATGGGGAAAGAGGCTCAGATGTCTGGAACGAGCAGGGGCTTTCCTAGCTGCCTTCCCAGAGGAGGAGGGAAAGGTGAGAGTGTCAAATCACTGACCTAAAGAAGTGACATTTCATTGTATTTATAGTTCTCAGCTACCTGATTACTTTCATCCAGTAAAGATTTGCATCTGCCAGGTTTTGCATATTGCTTTGAATGCTTTTGAGCATTTGCCTTTATCAGATTGCAGTTGTCTAATTCAAGTCCAATCCTGTTCTTATTTCCTTGCAGTGGTAGAAAATGAGATTCAGGCAAGAATAGACAACATATTCAGCAACTTGGAACGTCTGGAAATCCTGTCCAGCAAAGAACCTCCCAACAAGAGGCAGAGTGCCAAACTGTGAGTTCACTGCTTTGCTGTGATTGTGCAGGGTAGTCTTTGTAATTACTTTAATTAAATTTACTGAAACCCTTTGCCTTTTGATTGTGTGAAATCTTTATACTTTGTATAACTGATTTCTGTGTAATACAGTAGCAAAATTGAGGCACAGAGGCAAAATCACTTTCCTGCATTCAACCCCAGGCTCATGAGAATCATTAAAGCTGGAAAAGGCCTCAAAGACCATCAAGTCCAGACTGGTGATGCAGCTGGATTCATGCTCTGTTCTCAGATGAGCAGAACATGCTCTCTCTGGATGCTCT